TTGAAGTGGAAGAACCTGGTTGGTCGTACTGCTCGGTAGGCTTTAAAACTTTAGATATATGATTTTGATGTTGTTCATCGCCCAGGGAGTTCTATGGTTGATACTGATGCCCTTTCTCGAGCTCCTCTTCCTTCTCCACTTTCTTCTCATGTTTCTGATGAGCCTGTTGTTCCAGCATCTATGGATTCTCTAGACGAGGATTCAGTGTCGTCGGCGGTTACTATACTTGATGTTCAGTGTCTACAAGGCGTAGAGCAAGATCTACTTTCTCTTGATGAGGTTCACGAGGCTCAAAAGATTGAGCCGTGGATTCGAAGGCTTCGAGATGCATTTGAGGATCCTGCATCACTTGCTAATGACTTGCCTTTCCGGCATTTACATTCTCAATATCGCCTTGAGGATAGCCTTCTTTATTTTGTGGGGACGGATCCTGATGATCATTTACGACTGGTGGTGCCTTCTATCTTTATTCCACGGTTTCTCCATGCCTACCATGATTCTCCTGTTCTAGGTGGCCATATGGGACATCGTCGTGTGACCGAGAAGCTGCACAGGTATTTTTATTGGCCAGAGATGCGATGTGATGTTATCCGGTATGTGCGTAGCTGCGTTTGGTGCCAAGCTCATAATACTCCCCCTTGTGCTGCGGAAGGACGGTTGGAGTCAATTGCAGTTCCCCGTTCGTTTGAGTTGGTGGCGTTTGATCTTATGGGACCTTTTCCACGATCGACTGTTGGCAATAAGTATGTTATTATTGCTTCTGACTACTTGACTTGTTGGGTGGAAGTTGGTGCTCTTGCTAGCGCCTCTGCAACTGTTGTTGGATACTTTCTCCTCAATCGAGTGGTGTTCCAATATTCTTGTCTAGAGCGGATTCTTTCGGATAATGGTCCTGCATTTATGGCTGAGGTATTTCATGTTTTGACGTCTCGATTGGGGATACGCCACACTTTACGAGTGCTTATCATCCACAATCAGACGGTCTGGTGGAATGGCTCGTTCGGACATTCAAAGGGATGATTGCGAAGTATGTGAACTTTCAGCATTCGGATTGGGATGATTATTTGCCGTCTCTTCGGTATGCCTATGTCACAGGGGTGCAGAGTTCTGTTGGTGCTTCACCATATAAACTTCTATATGGTCATGATCCAATATTACCAATGGAGCTGGGTTTACCTTCGCAATTGCCACGAGCTCTTGATGCTAGGTCATGGGATCAATATTTGACGAGCATTCTTCCACTTGTCCAAGCAGAGTTTACCGAACACTTAGGCCGCGTACAAGTGAAACCACAATAGCGCTACAACTCCCATCATCGTCCACCTGCAGAGTATAAAGTGGATGATTTGGTGTTAGTTCGTTTTCCCCATCTTACGGTACGTGGTTTATCTAAGGGGCTCCTTGCACAGTGGAAAGGACCATATCAGGTGTTGCGGCAAGTTGGACCGCAAGTTTATAAGGTTCGGCATGACGTTCAGCAGGCTGATCCTTCGGAGATTGTGCATGTGCAACGGTTGAAACGATTCATACAAAGGGATCAGGAGTAGTTAATGCAGTCTACAAATCTGCCAATGCCTCCTCCTGACGTTCCTCCAGATCCCGGCCCATCTACAAGAGAACCCTGATAGCCTTCCATTATTCCGAGAGGAGGGGATGATGTGAGGGCCAAGTGTACGGTTACGATGCCGTATACTAATATTAGCGTAGTGGGATTTTGGTAGCCGTCGGATTGGTTTCAATCCGGACCACTCGCTCCTGTATATAAGCTAGGGTTTTTGGGCTAATTGATATGCACATTTCTGTATTCCTGTTCCATATTCCATGCACTCACAATAGGTTTTAAAATATTATTATATATTTCATTTATATTTTAATTAAAACTATTAAACTAATAATCCTCATGGCCTTATGAAATTCACCACCAGCTAGCTTTCTATAGCCACTGACTGCTTTAGCAGCAGCAACATAGTTAGCTGTTGTGATAAAAAATGTCAACCATAAAATGTCAAACTTGGAAGAAGATAAAAACACTACTTAATATACCTCCTCCTTAAAACCTTTGCATTTTGTTTGTAACTAGCAAAAGAAATGTCAAGTGAATTTAAAAACAAAATTATGGGTGTAAAGATAAATCAGATTTGATAGAATATATTAGGATTATATCTAAACTCTTGAAAAATATTAAATATTTAAATGTTAAGCAACAAATTATTATCTATTTTGTATATGCATTAGAAATTCTTGTAGTTAATTACACTATCTAATACATATGATGAAGTATCTCCTTCAAGCCAAATTCCCATGTCATAATGCACTACAAAATCATTTGATAGAGTTCCAAAATCAATCCAATCAATATACCATCCAGCATGAGACCCCGTATTATCATGTGATATTATCATTCTACATATTTTATCATATTCTGAAAAATATTACCTTGAACGTCAAACACATCTGTATTACAATGTTCAAAATCATCATAATTTTTATGGTCTAAATTCCGGTAAGTTAAAGTGACTCCAGATAATAAAGTAAATATAATGTCCACATTTGCATCAGTACCCTCTAACCACACACATCCAGTTTTTATTACAATTTTATATTTACACTAAACAAAAATATTAAGCTTAAAAAAATTATAATAAAATTTATTTACCTGTTGTCCTATAGTAAACTCTACATAAAGAGTAAGATAAACAATCAATAAAGCAATGAGTTTCATTATCAAACTTTAAGCTATTTTAGCTTTTGTTCTCTGTAACTTATAAATAACACTTTAAAAAAACTATACATTGTTTTGACCACCGTAAAAAGTTTTATAAGAATTAACTAGCTAATTTTTTTTATCACTACACAATAAGATAAAACTTATATAAACTTATCTAAATACTATTAACCATAAACCATTTGTCCACATATACGACAACATGGTGAATCCAGCATGATAAACCTCTTCAAACAACTTGGAGTTGGGACTTGTCCGTGTCTACATGAAGCTCAATGCCTGGCCAAGAACACCACCTTTCTCGACCTTAGTATGGGCAAGCTCTGTCGTTGAAAAATGACCCAATCTACTTATGTGCAACTCACTCCTGATCCTGAGAGCCGGTGCCCGAGCCTCGGTGCCAGTGCCCAAAGCTCGGGAGATGTGTCGGAGCTCCGGGCGCCTGAGTGTCTTGCTTGAGTCGCTGATCAATACAAATAAAAAATTTAGAAAATTTTCTAGCAAAAAATTTGAATTATCTTGAAAAGGTTGACAAAAGTTCAGTTACAAACTGTAGATACCGTTTTAAATTTGTCAAGTAGAAAATCTCGTGATGTTCACAAGATTGTTGCAAATTAACCATACCAACACTGGAAGTTAAGGGTGATCTCATGCTTCTGTCGCTACTAGGGTGTTAAGCACGTCTGGTTTAGCTCAATACTGAAGCATCTCTGGCACTGCTGTGGTGAATTAGTGATTTTTAAAGTACACTACTATGTTGAAGAAAACTCGAGAGTTCGAATGCGGTTGGTTTTCGTCATTTTGTATGTGCAGTTTGGAAGGTTTGTGTGTGGCACACCAAGGAGGTAGGCGAGTTTCTCATATCTCCCAACCAGGAAGCCGTGCGAGACCCCTTTGCGGTCGTCTACAGAGGAAGCACAGGATGGAATGCGGATCCATCAGCTGCTGGAGGAGTTTATCCCGCATCTAGCACAACTTCCATGTCGACAGCGTTGGAACCACGTCCTTCAGGCCTAAAGGCAAACGATGCTGGAATCCTCTAAGCACCTTCGAGAAAGGTTGGCCACCTTCGTCCCACTCTTCTTCAAAACCGACAGGGGTAGCTGCTACAGCTTCTGAATGCAACCGGCACAGATGTTCAAGCAGCACGTCCTTCGCAAGCTTGCCGAAAGGAAAGCTCGTGTTGAAAGGTGGAGAAGTGACTCGTCTTTTTGGTTCTCCTCCAGAAGAGGCCAATTTCGTTTGTTATGACGGCCCAGCAAGCGATCGCATTCGACAACACGTCCAAAAGATTCCCATGTAGATTTCACTCTCTTGCAAGCAAAGAAATGAGACAAGCGTAAGTTTCTCCATTGCCTGCCGTCTGTAACCTTAAAGCCTCTCCTGCCTCTTCTGGGAAGTTTGACCAGATAACTCTCAGCCCGTGGATTGATGATCATCGATGTCCTGGTTTTCTCGCAGCTCCATGAGCTCGTCCCTGTCGACAAACCTGTGGAGGACTTCGTCCGAAGGGACGATGCACTTGTCGGAGCGTCCAAACCAGCGGTAGCGATGTTTGGCGACGTAGTCATAGGCGGCGTCTCGGAGTGGAGCTGGGATCACGAGGAAGGAACTGAGTGCTGAGTATGGAAATGGAAGGTAGGACGCGACTCTCAATGCCGCTGCAAGCAACGCAAGGGGCTGATCAATCGAACGAAAAGAAAAGTTTTGTAGCTGTAAACTTGCCTGAGGATCCGGAAGAGCAAACACCCGGCCCTTCCACAAAGATGAACCTCCGGAGGACGTCCTCGCGTCCAACTCCGCAAGCGATGAGATATGGCTCCGCGGCCTTGGATTGCACGGAGCAAAAGCTGATGCATTCGTCTTTGTCCTTGTCAATCACCCATTTCACTCCTGGGACGATCGAGGAAGCAAAACAAAAAATCTTAGAAGAGAGAGTTACGCGAAATTAGTTTTTTTTTTTACCGGCATTGCAGAGATGGCAGACCCCGTCATAGATGATCACGCGAGGAATCAAGAGAAAAGGGGCGACGGGAGTAAATTTCACATTCGTTAAGGCCTGCCGCGGCTCGGATGGTGCTGTGAAAGGTATTGTCGAAAGGTACCTTCTCGATTCTTTAGCTGCAAAAACGCGATCAAGGCGACGCGAGTGCCTACATTCTAGAAATCATGGATCGATCACACCTTGCGATGCGATTGGCGAGGCCAGGCTCCCGAAGCACGCCAAGACGCGCTGCATTCTTCTTCCAAATCATTCATGCGCAAGAGCCCTAGCCCTAGACACAGGGGGTTTAACAAATATTTCTAGGGCAAATGGCAGAGAGCGTGGAGCAAAGGCGCGAGCGGCTGCGTGCGCTGCGCGAGGCTGTGGAGCTCGGCGGCGCTGGGGATGAGGATGCGCCTGGAGTGGAAGCCGCCGATGGCGATGGCGAGCAAGAGGTCGATGCGAATGGCAAAGAAAATTTACAAGAGGAGAAAGCGTAAGTCTCGATCGCAGGGGTTATTGTGTGTTTATTCTTTACGTTTTCTCGTGCTTGTAGAGATCTTCCCCCTATAAGGTTTCGGAATTATTTGCCGCGCGACGAGGAGCTCCAAAAGCTGAAAAGAGAACCTCCTGTTCTTCCCAAATTCGAGGATCCCGTTGCCGTGCCTACTGATACAAGCAATGCAGAGGTATGGAAGAATTTTTTTTCTTTCTCTAGGCTGCAACTCTTTCTTTTATTCAGGATCCCATGCTTAGCATCGCTCCAAAGAAGGCCAACTGGGACTTGCGTAGAGACGCTACGAAGAAGCTGGAGAAACTGGAGAAACGAACAACGCGTGCTATAATCGAACTCATGGGTAAGTCATTCTAAGCTTCTTCGTTCTTGAAACTTATCTTGCTTTGAGCAGCCGGAGAGAAAGAAAACCGGAAGAAACTAGGCTATGAACAAGACTAAGCTTCTCTTCGCTTTTTTGTTCTCCTAGAAGGAACTGTATTTGTACAACTCTGAAGGCTAATCTCTTTTTTACTTCGACTACAAAATTGAATCACTGGGACTAGTTTTCTCATCTTTTCTTGGAGCTGAGGTACAAGCATACTCCGACTGCTGTCAACGAGGCCGACGCCGCCAAAATCGGTAACCCGTAATCTGCTAATGCAAGCTCTCTCTTTCTCAACTTTCTTCTTGCAGCCTCAAGCTCCGTTCGAAGCCGCGAAGTGCTAGCGTCGCTCTGCTCCAAGGTGTCCGTCAGCTCGACTATTCTCTCCCTCATTCGGGTAACTTCCTCTTTTGCATGCTTTGATGCCTCCGCAGACGTGGTACTAAGCCTTCTCACTTGAACTTCCAGGGCCTTTTTGTTATCTCCGACTGCAAAGAGCTGGGTCTCGAGCTTTGATATCTGGAGCTGTTTCTGCTTGAGCGCTTCGACCACCCTGCACACGGAGTTCCTCAGGGTGGCGTAATCCTTTTCAAGCGTAGTGCCACTTTTTTGAGCCTGACTTATCTGCCCGACAAAGAGAGGAAGTGCCGTGGCCGCGAACTCTGGATCACCACTGTTATCACCAGCGTCATCGGCTGCCATGGTTCTCACGTCCTTGTTGAGCTTGGAGAGCATTTCAGCGAGCTGGAGCTCCTGAGTTTCCAGCTCCTGGCACTGCTTCTGAGTCGAGGCCAGGGCGGTCTCAAGCTTTCTATTGTGCTCCTTGACGACGTCGCCTTCTTCTCGCAACACGTCCAGCATGCTGGTGGCGTTTATGATCTCCTGCTTTGCTGCTGCCACGGCCTCCGTTAACCTTTGCAGCTCTTCCTCGACGATCTCCTTGGTGAACTCGGGATGGAAGTGCTCGTCCCCGGTAGCATGAACCTCGCTGGAAGTAAGTTGCTCTAACTCTCTGCTCAGGCCATCGATCTTACTAATCACATCCGCCATTGCATTTTCAGCGTCCTCGGCTCTCTGCAAAACACTCGACAAGTCCCGGTTATTCCGATCCTTCTCGACATGAAGCTGCTGCTTGAGCTGGTCCTGGACCTCAGAAGCCTTGATGCTCACTACCTGAAAGCGCCCACCGAGCTGCTGGATCTCCCGCTCCAGCGCCTCGTTCTTCAAGTCCATGGTATGCAACTCGTCCTCGAGCTCGTCAATCTTGACAACGTAGTAGTGCCTCTCGGCGTGCAGCATGGACATCTCCTTCATCAGCGACTCGTTGAGCTGCGAGAGATTCGACGCCTCATGGGTGGCGGTGAGCTTTGTAGTGTTCTTTTGCACAGATTTCCTTGGCGGGCTCTGATGGTTTTTCTTGCTGTCTAGCGCAGGAGAGCGCGGCGAGGACGACATATCTGACGAGATGTATCCTTCGTCGACATAGAAACTTCCCTGTTGGCGAACCATTGTGTCAGTCATCTTGGTAAGATCTCTCACTCTCTCTCTCTCGCTTCCCCTTTTTTTTCTACGACTTCCAGGCAGCGAGATTGACGCAGTGACTCTGTGTTTCCTACAGGCTATCATCGAGAGTTCTTACCACCGAGATGAGTGCTTTGCGAGAGAGACAAGCCTCCGAGCAAAGCGAAGAGCCGGATCGAATGGAGGAATCCTTGGAGAGGCTGAGAGAACTAAAGGGGAAGAGGGGATTGATCGAGGAGACGAGGCAGCCACAGTCCGAGCAAGGCGAAGAAAGCGATAGAAGAAATGGAGTCTTTTTGGAAGAGAACTCGCGGGGTGCCATGCCATGCCCACCCGTTCATGCCTCCAAAAAATTGAATTCCACGTCATTACCGCGTGGGGTTGACGTGGAGATGACGCTACTGGCCACGTCGGCATGACTAGATGCTAAAAAAGGGAAAGATTCTATTATAAATTCGCAGCTAGGGCAAGCGATCTGGATGGACGAAATTCTGGATCTGGAGCAGCGATCGCCGACCGCAAGGAGCCACAGCGTAAGGCTTTGCTCCTCTGGGATTCCCGCAGCTCGGATCTACGCGGCTCGGCGGAGGAGCTGATCGTTCGATCCATCCAGGGTTTCGATCGGCGCAGCGATGGCGTCGCGGCAAGTAGCGGCCAAGTTCCGGGAGCTCCAGTCGCAGCCCGGGAACAAGACGTGCGTGGATTGCTCGCAGAAGAATCCACAGTGGGCGTCGGTGTCTTACGGCGTCTTCATGTGTCTCGAGTGCTCGGGCAAGCACAGGGGGCTGGGCGTCCACATCAGCTTCGTGAGATCCGTGTCCATGGATTCCTGGTCCGAGATCCAGCTCCGGAAGATGGAGGCCGGGGGCAACGACGCGCTCAATCGCTTCCTGGCCGAGTATGGCATCCCCAAGGAGACCGAGATTGTGGCCAAGTATAACAGCCGGGCCGCGGAGGTCTACAGGGAGAAAATCCAGGCGCTGGCAGAGGGGAGATCGTGGAATGCTCCGCCAGTGGTGAAGGAAACTCTCAAGAGCTCTTCTTCCACGAATGGAGCTTCCAAGGGATGGGACGAGTGGGACGATGGTGGTCGAGATGGTATGAGGAGAAACCAGAGCGCGGAGTCTTTCTCTGGCAAGGCTCCCGGTGGACCTCCTCGGTCGCGCTCCTCGGATGGATTGTATAGCCAGGAGCAGCTCTCGGCGTCGGCGGCTGGGAAAGACGCGTTTTTTGCGAGGAGGCAAGCCGAGAATGCTTCTCGGCCCGAGGGATTGCCTCCTGCGCAGGGAGGGAAGTATGTGGGATTTGGATCCGGTGGAAATCGTCCGCCACCTCCACCGCCTGCGAATGACGTGCTCAAGGACACCATGTCTATTGTTTCTCAGGTAAAAAATGTTTGCTGTTATCTCGGCTAAGCTCGTGGATTTCCAGGGATTTAGCAAGTTATCAGTCGTAGCGTCTTCGGCAGCTCAGTCGGCTGCGGTGGCGGCGTCTACGGTCACCAAAGATCTTTCCAGTAAGGTATGTTGTGTTTGGAGATTTGTCTCTCTCACTCTCTCTCTTATACAATCGATGTGTTTTGATTTTTTTGTAGGTGAAAGATGGAGGATACGACCAGAAAATGAACGAGACTGTTTCGGTGGTGAGTGCGAAGACCACCGAGATTGGGCATAAAACGTGGGGCCTGATGAAGGGAGTCATGGCTATGGCTTCCAAGACAGTGGAGAACTACACAAAAGAGGAGGCTGTTCGGCTGTACAACGTTGACGATCCTCACGCGAACAAAGGCTACCAGAAGTTTAGCTCCTCGAGAAGCAACTGGGACGATTGGGACAACGAGAAAGCTGCCGCGAACAACGGTAATCCGGACGGGAACAAGAGCAGCGCTAAGAACAGCAATAGTAGCAAAGGGTGGGACGACTGGGATGATGATAACAATCGCAGGCACCAGGAGCAGGCTAGCAAAGCAAATGGCTCGCAAAACTCTACCTTTCAATCGGTGGATCTTCACGAGTCGTGGACCGGCTGGGACGTCGACAAGGATGACGACGATGCGGTTTCGAGCAGGAGCAAGAACTCTGGGAAGTGGAACGATTTGGATTGGGACAGTGGATTCAAGTGACACACGACACGAATTCTTCGCGAATAAAACTCTTCGAGAGAAAACGAAGATCACCGAGGTGAAAAGAAGAATTTTTATGTACTCTGGATTGATTGCCGCGAAAGAAAATCTATGGCTACTATGTTACACGAAAGCTGGTTTTTCAGTGTGAGACCACTGAGCTCTCGCTCGCTCCAGGTTGTGATAGTTTGAGCCGTCTTTTGGGTGAGACAGTCGCGTTGTTACACGTAACTTCGCTCGTTTCTTCCGTGTGATCTTCCTCGTGATCCAGTGGCCTTTTCGTCTTTGGCACTGCGAGGCGTGGATTCGCCGCCGCCTCGGCAACGACTTCGTCGCGTTTGGAAGAACAAGTGGCCTCTGGTTCTCCCTTGTCCTCGCTTTGAATGCTCTTGGTTTGTGTGTGTTTGAGCTTGAGCTCGCCGTCGTGCATTAGCTGGAGGCGAGCTTCGATCTGGAGCTGGAGCTGGCGTTGGATCTGTGAGGAAAACACACGCAAGCATGTGAAATCCATCCAGGGAAAAAAAAAGGAAGAGCAATAAAAACCTCTATGGTTTCGTGAAGTCGCCGCTGGACTTCCATTTGCAGTCGGAGGTTTTCCGTCACCCTGCGATACCAGAAGTTGTGATTCTCCAAGAAAACTGAGCGAGCGAGAGAAAAGAAAAACGAGAGTGGAAGATCACTTACGCTGTGGTTTCGGCCAACTTGTTCAATGTGAGCTTCTTCTTCTCGGGCTTGGGAGCTGTGACACCAAAGAGATGATATAAAACACGGAATGGGGAATGGAAACAAGCTCACCTCCTTCGGGGTCCTCAGGGATTTGCTTGTTAAGTCGATACTTCTGTAGGTAAGAACACAACGCTTAATCGTCACACTCTATGCTGCATTGCTACTTTCACCTGGAGATGGCTCTTGACGTGGTAAATGGTGATCTCCGGCACCGCCATGACGCTAAGAACCGACTTTGGGGTAGCAGCTGCAAGAGCGATCGATCGATCAAATCCAAAAAAAAACGAGCAAGAACATCCAAAAACTTGCTTACTTTCGGGGCCGCCGAGGAGAGCCACAGCCTCCACGAATCGCTGGTGAAGCTCCGGCGTCCACCGCAAGCGCTGCTTGAGATTCGGAGAGATTCCACTCCCACCCGAGCTGCTGCTATTGCTGGGAGTAGCGCTCCCGGAATTGTCCCGGACCTGGACAAACTGTGGCACCACCACCCCTTTCTTGCTCTACCAAACCAAAATAACCAACAATTATCTCCTCAATTCTTGGAAGAACACAACAAGAAACTCACGGATGATTCCTCGCCATCGCCGCCGCCGTCGCTGGGATTGAGCAAGCTGGTCCATCCCTCCTGCGCCCACTCCACCTCGTTCTTCATCAACCCGTTCCCACCGCCTCCCTGCTCTTGCGGCGAGCAAAGCATCATCTCCAGCGCCGCGCTAAACTCGGCATCGTCCATCCTGCCGCTGCCCTGATCCTGGCAGGGCGCCACCGCCGCCGCCGCCGCCGCCGCATTGCCGTGGTCAGGTGAGCTGGGCCGCGAGGATCCATGGATCAAGAGCATCTGTGCCGCCGCGCCCTCTCGCCCATATAAGGCGAGGCGCAAATTCTTTGCCCTGGATCAAAAGCTCACTCCTTCCTCACTCATGATTTTTTCTCCTTCTTTTCTCTTTTTTTTGGCGATAAAAAGTGTCAGGGAATCTCAAGGAATGTGACACAGCGTCGTGTTTTCTAGCGAGAAAATGGCCCCCAAATTCTTTTAATTGCTTTTTCTCTAATATCTTCTCTGAATGCTTTCTCGGCAACTTGGCGCGACACAAAGTACCAATGCGTGTGTCAATCCAACCACTTCCGTATGAATCGTTGCTATCATCAAGAATTATAAGCTTGCGCGCGTCGACAAAACAGCCACGGAAGCAGTTTTAATCTTTGGCCCGCCATATTTTACGTCTTTGTGCTTTGTTATCACGACAATAACATATTGTCACACATTGTCCATCTGGTATTACAGCACTTTCTTGCACGCTTCCAACTCATCATGTTTCCATCCTCAAAGACATTAGAATTTACAAATCCTTGATCAAAGACAAGGAGAAAAATACCGTATCACCTTTGCGTTCCTTCCTGCAGTTGAATATCTTGGGTTAGAATCGGAAAAAGAAACATGAAAAGAAAACATCCGGCTAATGGCATCAGCGATCAAAGAGAAACTTCAGGAGAATTTCAGGTGAATCATCGAAATATAGACATCAGTTGCCAAAGCACGACGGAAAACGAAAAATTATAGCAACAAAAAGGTGGCATCAGCAAACCATATGGTATAGCTTCACAGTGATGTCAGCTGAATCATCGAAATCTTACCATCACTTGCCACAGACCAAAAAAGCAAAGAAACAAAAAAATCCAACAGTGCCACAAACAACAACGAGAGAAGGACGAAAGCTTACAGTCAAGAACGCTCACGCAGAAGAAACAAAGAAACGATCCTCTGGAAAAATCAAGACAAGCGAGAAAGAAAGTAAGCAACCAAAGAACAACTTAAGAAGATCAAAAGAACGAACCAGGTTAGAGAGCGAGGACGAGGAAAAGATCAAACTTTCCCCACGCTACCATCACTTGTCTACTTCGTGCTTCACTGCTACTCCCATGGATCTGGCAGTCCCCATGATCGACCGGCAAATCCCCTCCAGCGGCTTGTCCTTGCAGTTGGCATCCGTCTTCTTGATCTTGGCGATCTCGTAGATGTGCTTGTAGGTGACAGTCCCCACCGATTCGTGCCCCGGCTTGTGAGCCCCAATCTCCAGCCCCGCGGCCTTCTTCAAGAAGTAGCTCGTCTTGGGCGACTTGAGCACGAAATCAAACGTACTATCCTTGTACGCGGTGATGAGCACCGACATTGGGACGTCGGCCCGGATGTGCTGCGTCCGCGCATTGAAATCCTTGCAAAACGCCATGATGTTCAGCCGATGCTGCCCCAGCGCCGGCCCGACGGGAGGCCCCGGCTTCGCCTGCCCCGCATTCACTGTCAGCCGGATGTGCGCTGCGAATTCCTTGGCGGCGGCCTTCGCCGCCTTCGCCATAGCTGCCAAGAACCCTAAACCTATAAACCCTATGCCCGAATTAAACCCTAGGATTTAACTCCAATGCTTTATTTTGACCGTACTTGCTCGAATATTATTGTCGTACGCTTGGCCGTACGATTATAGAAAATTTTATGCGAGGGACTGGATTCTCTTGTCCAGCTCCTCCACTTCCTTTCGTATTCTGTCTAGATAGTGAGGATCAGTGGCCAGTTTTGCCTGGAGCTTCGCGTGGTCGTCCATGAGGCGCTTGTAAGTTTTGTCCGCGTCCTGGATCGATCAAGCACGGCTGATTCATTCGAGGAAAGAAAGAAAAGAAGAAAGAACGCGACGAACCTTTCTAGCGGCTTTGGACAGCTCCTTCCCCTCCGCGTTGTGTGTGGGAATTCCTTGCGTGTCAAACTGGCTGTATTTCTCGCTGAGCTTTCTAAAGTACTCGGATGGGTCTCGTGCTGCATCCAGCTTTTCCAGTTCTTTCACCTGTGTAAGGTTGAGTCAGAACAAAAAATACAAAGGAAAACTAGCAACCTTCTGTTCTTTCTTTGTCTGACACTTCTTTCTTTCTGCGTCTGCTGAGGCTCTGAGTTTTGCCTCCCTCTCTCTTTTCAATACTTCGGCATCCTTAAGCTCCCATGAGAAACCTCCATCTTTATCCATCAGGCTCACACCTAGATCGACAAGGACACGGTCCCGAAGATCGTCAGAGAGCTCCATGATTCTTTCCTGTCATTCGCCATAAAGCTTTAGCCACCAAGGTAGAAAATTAAAAACTTACATTGGCCTTCCCAGCGTCACGGACATCTGCCCTGTATTGGCACAGCGTGTCGATCAACTGATCAAGGGTAGGCCCATTTTTCTCTCCTAAAGACGCTTGAGCTTGTGATGCGAAGGCATCAGATTCATATAAACCTGGACATGATGTGAATAAAGTTAGAAAATTCTTAGACAGTTAAGAGTCAGCTCACCAAAAACTTGTAACGTTTTCTTGATATAGCTCGCCACCTTCTTCAGCAGTACAGGACTCGGGCTGCTGGAATCGAATTTCTAAGAGTACCAAAACACACGTCAATCTCTACTGGGAGCTTTTACTTACGGACTGATTCAAGTAGGAGTGGACTCCACCGACGAGGTCGGAGAGACTTTTAAGAGCCCTGGCCGTGTTGAAATTGTCTTCTAAATGGCTTCTGACCTGTGCACTGTAAATTAGAGGAAAGAGGGAAGTCTTTTATCCAAGAGCTTACTTCCAGTTCAGTTTCGCGCCGCAATGTTTCTAGTGTTTTTTCATTGTCTCCAAAATTTCCTGGCAGCATCTCATCGGTCTGCACATATGAATTGTAATGCGATTACACTTAGATGCCAACATGAATTTACCTCCTTGACGATATCTCTGACTTCTCTGAACAAGTTGTCAAACTGTTTCTCCTTTTGTGCAGCTTCACTCATCGCTGACGCACTGAAATCCATCGGCTAGGAAAGAAGAGTCTCAGTAATAAACTTGTATATGACAAAACTACCTTATCCCACTGATGGAGAAGGAAAAGAAGTCGAAGCTGACTAGAAGAATAATGTAGTTCTTCCAGTGCCTGCACCATGTTATTAATAAAAATTAGAAAGACAAGACATAAAGCCTCACCTGTCTGATCGTAGTGAAATTCTTCAAAGACTTGGACATTTTTAGTCCGTTCACTGAGAGGTGACCGCTGTGAAAGAAGTAATTCACCCACTGCACAAATAAAGACAATGAAAATCCTATACCTTTACCACGAGACGCGTACCTGTGAGCAACTATGGTAAGCTTCAGCCTGAGCTAGTTCATTGTCATGGTGCGGAAATTTCAAATCACTGAGAGATAAAAATGCGTGAGCTTATAAGTCTCAAGCCTCTGGAATGAATACTTACGCTCCACCTGAGTGGATATCAATGATCTCCCCAATAACGTCACTGGCCATAGCCGAGCACTCGATGTGCCAACCAGGACGGCCAGGTCCCCATGGGGAATCCCAGAAAGGCTCCCCAACTTTGCTTTCCTGCAAACGAATTTGTCACGTGGTGCTCTAAACTCATAGCGTACCTTCCATAACGCGAAGTCGTTATTGTTTTTCTTGTTTCTGGTTTTGAAGTTCGTTTCGCTCTCAGAAGCCAGACCAACACATCCTACAGCTGCCGGATTAAGCTTTCCATAAGTGTGCTTTGTGTTACTGAGAAAAGGCAGGTTAGAAACCGCACAAGAAAAGTTGAGAAGCTTACAATGCTTCGGTATCGAAGTATACGCTGCCATCGACTTCATAAGCATATCCATTTGCGATGATAGTTTCGACATATTTTACAATCTTCGAAATGTAGCTGCAGTTGAAAAGGTTTTACCAAAAAGAAAATTAGCAGAGAGAAAAATTTGAGAACTTACTCCGTGACTCTGGTGATAACATCTGGCGGTTTAACCCCAAGACTCTTCATGTCCTCAAAGAATTCTTTCTCGTATCTGTACATCCCAACTTTCAGAACCTCTCACACCTCAATTACATGTACCTTGATGCATGAGCGCGATATATCCCATGATCTGTAACAGTGTGACCGAGATCATCGTCCAATTTCGAAGCCAAAAAGTCGTCAGCATTGTCGCCAAGCAAGTGACTGATGCCATCGTCTCCCATTAAGCCAGCTTTGTCTCGTTTAAGTTTGAAAGCCTCTTCAGCCTGTCGAACCTTCTCAAGCTTAAGCTCCTCCTGCTTTGCTTTCTGCCCAACACAAACAGAAGCTAGTCGGAAAAATAACACATCCGAATCACTGTACCTCTTCAAGTTCTTTCTTCTGCGACGCCTTCGCCTTTGCAAACTCATCCTTTGCACTTGCCAGACTCTTCCCTTGTTTTTCATTCTCCGTATCAAACGCCTTTGTAAGGTCTCGTATAACCTGAAAGCTCCGCGGTAAGCAACACAAACTAGACAAGAAAACGCAGTACCTCTGAGGGATCTTTAACTCTCTCCAAGTACATTCTCAGTAGATGGTCCCGACGAGCTCGCTTGATGATCTTATCATCCACATCAGTAACGTTCATCACATAGAAAACATCGTAGCCAAAAAAATCCTGGCCGGAGAAATGAGAGTAAACCAGCTCGTGGCAAGCTCAAAGAAAGAAATATACCTCGAGAATTCTCCTCAAGATATCAAATGTCACATAGTTCCTGGCGTGGCCGATATGGGAAGAATCATAGACAGTCGGTCCACATATATACCAAGTCACTGGAAGTAGCAATGCTGGAGAAATCGAGGAAAGCAAAGGAAACATCCTCACCTCGTTTGGATCCATCGCTCGTCGCGAACGGCACCTTGTGGCCGCACAGCGTGTTGTTGACGATCAATCCCTGAGGAGGAGGAGCTGGAGGCGATGGCGGGATCCATCCTCCTTTGGCGCCATTGGCGCTCTGCGCAGCCATAGCCGTAGCGTCAAACCCTAATTCCCTCACGGCCAAACGCCGGAAGGAAGAAAGGCAAAAATTTCTCATGGGGTAGGCAGCGCTGCCTCGATTCGATCCAAATCGCCATAATTTGAAGGTTTCGATGGAAGCAAGCATTCTAAGTGGAAGATCCGAGAGTAAGACTGGATCATCGTGCGGCAACGATAAACCCTAGCTCGAGAACCCTAATTTGATAAAAGGAAAATTAGGGCTTTGGAAAAAGGTGACGAGGTGGACTATATAAGTGAGGGGGTTGGGGTAAGGTTTTTCCAGTCCAAGGCAAATGGAGAGGAAGAGCGCTCCAACTTTTGACGTTGTTGAGCCTCCGCCGGGGCTCAGGATCAAATGCCCGCGCGATCCCTCGCTTTTTGATCCGGATGCGTTGATAGATCGATGTGAGGATGCTTTGGATGAGATATCTGAGATTCTCGAAATACTATTCAAGAATTTGGAGTTTCGAGATAGAGGACTCAAGCGTTGTTCTAAAGGAAAACAACAAATGAAACCTTTTTGTTTGAAGGGTGATAAAAAATAATATAACCTTGGCTTTCTTTACATTGTGTTGCTTTGAACGTAGCGTTCTTCCTTTCCGCCTCTCACGCTCTGGACAAGAGCGCACACCTTCCTCTCAAAATCGCTCAAAAAGTTTGGTTCTTGGCCAATTCCATACTTCGATCGATCGACCGCTTCTCTGAAGTTGTCGAGATTGACAGCAGATTGTCCTGGAACCAGTGTCACAAAAAAATGTTGGAAATGATCAAAAGAGAAGGACCAGTGATTTTCTCGTTACCTCGTCGAGCGGCCAAGAGCGCTGCTTCGTTCACCACGTTTGCCAAGTCGGCACCAACAAAGCCCGGCGTGATGCTCGCTACAAATCTCTGGAGCTCTTCCGGATCGCCTTCTACACGAACGCCCCTCATATGAACAGCGAGAACTTGTCTCCGGCCATCCAAGTCGGGCTCCCTCACGAAAACTTTCCTGGAGAATCGCCCCGCTCGACACAGCGCTGGATCCAGCGCCTCGGCTCGGTTTGTAGCTGCGAGGACGAGCACTCCAGTCCCGGATTCGAAGCCATCCATCTCAGTCAGGAGCTGCGAATAAAGGACGACGAGCTCGCTCACTCAAGAGAGAAAAGAAACTTAGAAGATTTTTGTTCTACCTGGTTGAGAGTTTGGTCCCGCTCATCGTTGAAACCACGTCCTCTTTGTCCTCCGACAGCATCGAGCTCATCAATGAAGATCACCGACGGTGCGTGCTTCCGAGCCACGGTGAAAAGCTCTCGTATGCGCGCTGCTCCTCGTCCCACGAACATCTCCACAAACTCGCTCGCCGAGGCCGCAAAGAATGGAACTCCGGCCTCTCCCGCGAGTGCCCGAGCGAGAAGCGTCTTCCCAGTTCCTGGAGGCCCGATAAGCAGCACTCCTTTTGGAAACTTGGCACCTAAGCTCCGGAAGTTCGAGGCTCCTCTCAAACAAGACACTATCTGGAAGAAAAGAAAAACCATGAGAGGAAGACGAAGTTTCTTTCGCAAACTTACCTCGAGAAGCTCGGCTTTCGCAGTGTCAACTCCAGCAACATCCTCAAACTTGACGCTCTGGATGTTCTTCCTTCGTTTCTTGGACATGTCGGCCTTGCCAGTGATCTGCCGGTGCATCAACCACATCAGTGGAGTGAGCGGGATCCACAAAGTGAGGAGAGTGCCGATGACCGAGGCAGCAACCGAGCTGAATGATCGAGGAGCCGAGCTATACTCAACGTTGCCAGCTCCATTTCTCAGCAATCCCAGCAAGTAGCTCTCGTCGTGCCGGATCTTCCTCGTACAAAACTGCCAAGTTTTCTCTCCTGTGCCTTTGCCTCTGCCAGAAGAAGAAGAAGAAGAAGAAGAAGCACTCTTCACGCTCGAAGTAGCTATGGTGTTTGCTTCTTCTCCGGATCCCACTTTCTCGGCTTCCACTTTCTCGGCAACCATGTTGAAAAAGATTTGAGATGAGCCCTCCTCGAACAAAACGCTCTGGACACGCTGAGCTTCCAGTGATTGAATGAGAGTCGAGTAAGAAACGCTGGTCGGAGCAGTAGCAGCCGAGAGCTGGACCAAAAAACTCCCGGCCGTGAAGAGGCATGCTACAAATCCTCCGCCCAAAATACCCCTCCAGTTCTTCCTCAAAGCTCTCGAGAATCTCGCGGCCGAGAACCACAAAAAGAGCCTCTTAACCGACCTCCGCCATAGCCGCATTCTAACTCGTAGAACTCGAAGCCATGGCTTTCTTGTTGCCTGGATTTCTCTCTTCCCGTCATTGCTGCTGCTGCTGCTACTGTTCCTGCCGATTACCGCTAGAGGTCTTCTTCCAAAGTTGTGCTCGCTTTGATACGAGGAACACCTCAAGCTTAACCGGCATCTCTTTTCGCCTCCACCGCCGCTAGCCCTACTACTGTGAAGCCATAGCCGCGCTCTATGGAAACTATCCGAGCTCGAGGTAGTGAAAAGTGTACCTGTGGTGGAGACCTTGTGGAATCCATAGCACGCAGCATTCATTCCGGCTCTCGCTACCTAGAAGGTAGGGCATTTGGTAAGATAAAACTCTTTCACAGCAATAAGAGTTGCTTAATAGTGGTCAAACAGCCACTTGCCGGTTCGCGGTCAAAGGATGGAATGAAAGACGATGTGGATGACTTTGGTCTTGTGAAGTCGGCTGAGAGATCCCAGCCAGGTACAAGGGTGACTGGCCGCGCGAGCCATAGCAGGTGTCAAAAGCTTAGGTCGATCTGGTGGCCACAATGGGGGATGGCAAAACAAGATGAGCTTCACTTCAGCAGGGTAATTTAAATTCTTTTGACAGATCCTGAGCTCTGGCATTAGCCAGATTGTAGAAAAACTTGCTGCAAGCCCAAACTACTCCAACTCTTTGTGAGAATGTTCTCAAAATTCTAAGTTCCTTGTATTTTTATGTCCAACTGTGAGATGAAAATCTGTTTTAAAATCCTTTTCTAAGCAAATGCTAACAAAACTTAAGGACGGAGGCTTTTGCCAGCATAGTTATGATTGCAAGATATTACAAAGCTTTGAAGTTGACTTATGTCTAATTGCTTAAACTTACAAAATACATGTTTCCATGCTATCTACTATGCAGTCAGTCCCTGCTTTCCTATCATTTGTGTTAAAAGGAAGTGAGCTAGAGTGATTTAAGATGGAAGGGAGTGATCAAAAGAAAAGAAGTGTTGGAACCAAGAAACTAGAATTAACTGGCGATTTCGGTCTTACAGTTTTTTTTAGTGTTAACCATCAGTTTAGCGCATCTAAGGTCTATTTAGTGTTAACAAAATTTAGCACATATTTGCCATTATTGATAATATTTTACATTTTGAGTGAAAATTGACACAAGTAATAAAATAAAAAGTATATAAATCAATACATGTTTCATAATTTTTAATATAGACTGCTATATAAAACATTATATAATAAAAGAGTTTTGTATTGTGAATGTTTGGAATATGGAAAGGGAATACAGAAATATGCATATCAATTAGCCCAAAAAACACTAACTTATATACAAGAGCGAGTGGTCTAGATTGAAACCAATCCAATGGCTACCAAAATCCCACTATGCTAATATTAGTATACGGCATCGTATCCGTACACTTAGCCCTCACATCATCCCCCCCTCTCGGAATAATGAAAGACCATCAGGGTTCTCTTGTAGATGGGCTGGGATTTAGAAGAATGTCAGGAGGAGGCATCAGCGGATCTGTAGGTGGTATTAACTGCTCTTAATCCCTTTGTATGAAACATTTCAACCACTGCACATATACAATCTTTGGAGGATCGGCCTGCTGGACGTTATGCCAAACTTCATAAACTTGTGGTCCAACTTGCCGCAACACCCGATATGGTTCTTTCCACTGTGCAAGAAGCCCTTTAGATAAACCACGTATCGTAAGATGGGGAAAATGGATTAACACCAAATCATTCACTTTGTACTCCGCAGGTGCACGATGACATCATCCCAAGAATAATATATGGCAATCACCATGAACTGATCAAACCAATAGTACACATCATCCCTAAGATTCCCACGAAAGAACTCCAGCTGAACGCGAGGATTAGCACCAACAACAAAAGGAGTTGGACCACGTGCCGTGAATACCACTATCAATTGAGTTTGGTTGTTCAATTGCAAGCACATAGCATCAAGCAATTGGACCAATTGCTAATCTAAAGTCAAAGGAGGAGATTGTTGATTTGCCATGAAAATGGACGAAGAAAGAGCAAAAGAAGATAAACAACAAAAAACAAGAAGGAAATGGGAAATCTAGACAATGCAAAAAGCTAGATCTAAACCAAAATCCTGAAAAGGAAGAACAAAAGAAAGGAAATGGAAAAAACTAGATCTAAACGATGCAAAAGCTAAATTTAAACCAAAATCCCAAATTTAAACACTCCTCAGGGACAATCAAAGGTGCCCCTCATCTCCATCAATATAAGTGCTTGGAATATAGAAAGAGAATATAGAAATGTGCATATCAATTAGCCCAAAAAAACCCTAACTTGTATATAGGAGCGAACGGTCCGGATTGAAACCAATCCGACGGCTACAAAAATCCCACTACACTAATATTAGTATACGGCATCATAGCTGTACACTTGGCCCTCACAGTATGTTATTATAAAATAATATTTTATAAAATTTTTTGACTAAACTTATATAAATTTTTTATTCTAACTTTTTTTATATTATTTATTTATTTCTTGTGAAACTTTTATGTTGGCTCACTGCTAGTTTCACATTATTTTATTAAAGCATTTCTATAGTACATGTTTTAGGCAAAAGTTATGATTAATTAAATACTGTTATAATATATTTTTTGTAGGGAGAAAAATAGAAAAAAAAATTGGAAAAGTCTTCTCCACTTAGAAAAAAAAACTTCATAATAATACTACTATGAGGAAAAAGTACTTTATTGCTTCTTTTTTTTCACACTTACCTAATCTATATTAACTTTATATATTTAGTTATAAATAATATTTTTATTTTTATCAGTTAAAAAAACTTAAATACTCAAAAATTAATAAAGGAAAAGTTATATAAATTAATCATTAAAATTGTTTTTAAAAAAGTAAAATATGGCAAGAAAATTAATAGCAGAATAAAAATAATATTTAAAGTCAATCAACCTATTATTTAAACTAGAAAAAAATATTCCATTCATAATCTTGAATAAAACAGGTTTTTATATAAAAAAAATTAACTAATTTATTAGCTATATTATGTTTAAAATTATTTATTAACTAACCATTTGAATTGTTTTAGATGGAAATACTTAACAATAAAAATATTTTTAGTAGCAAACATATAATACAATTTCATTTCCTTTTTAGAAAATTTTATAATGACTTTATAACTATTAAAAATCTTTAATATCATTAAAATAAGTCAGGCTTCAAAGTAGGAAATTTTTCATGATATAACTTTAAAGAAATTAAGAACACCATCATACTAGTTGAATTTAATATGCAAGAAATTTTATTCAAGAACTTAATTTACTTTTTGACTTTGTTAATTTCCTTGACTATTACACAGTCATGGATGTAAAACTGATACTATTAAATGCCGGTGTGTTCCTCATGGACTTTGGGCTGGTCAAAATGGTGAACATTGTCAAACTCCCCATTAATGTTTTTTGTAAATTTTAATTAAAAATTAATTATAAATCCATAAAATAAGTAATGTTAAAATGAATTTTTTAAAATTTTCTATATATTAGCAAGTAAGTAACTTAATATTTTAAATAATATATTATATAATATTATGATTTACACTATAAAATTTATGACATCAGAAAATGATTTATGACATAAAACTTATAACCTTAAAGTAAAGTTTATAAAAAAATAAATAATTATTTATTGTGGTTGAAACGTCTAAAAAGGAACAAAAATGAGAAATAATAAGTTACAACTATGGTAGAATTTTATTTTCATATTTATTTTGTTGTAAAAAATAAATAAAAAATTTAATTTTAATTTACTTATTTTTTATTTGTTTTCTTTTATACAAGTTATGAAGTATATAGTTGTGAAAATTTCAAAAAGTTATAGGCTGGAAAATAATGTTAAGCTATACAAGTTTTCAGAAGTGATTAGATATGTTAAAGTTTTTCATCTCTTCTCACTTTAAAAAAAATTTAAAATAAATTTTCATATAAGAAAAGTTGTAAAGTGATATAAATGGTGGGGTTAAACCTATATAATATAGATCATTTATTTAAAACTTAATTTAGTCCATCCATTTTTGTATTTTGATAGGTAGTATAACTACTATAGTTAACTACATTACTGTAATTAATGTATTATATACTTATAACTGTTTATATCAAAATTAAACATTTATTAAATGTTCCATTTTATTTACATTTCTTTAATATTTAATAGTATAGTTTGCAATATGAAATTTATAAGATTGTTAAATCCTAGAGATTCTTAAAGTTAAACTTATTTACCTCATTATAATTGTTATAGTCCATAAAATAAGGAAGAGTTGTGAAATTGAGTGAACCATCATGAATTAAGTGATGGAAAGATTCACATGATCTATGGAGTGCTTGTTGCATACAGAACAAGAACGTTTTGATCATTGTTTCCAACACCCTGTGAACCAAATGAGCTTCTCTTAATTTCTTTGGTTTACAGCTTACCTGCATTTGGACGAGAAGCTCCGTTTTGATTCGTCTTGTCTCCTTGCTCTCGTTGCCTTCACCACATTGTCCACACAGCGAATCAATCTCGTCCCCTGGCCATTTGGAAAAAGTTGGCTACGAGCTTCTTGCTCTCCCCCAACTAGATCTAATGAAGAAATACTGTTGTCACCAATTTATCAGTCATACCTAAAGGTGAACCGCTTCTGATTCCTTTTCATCACAGATGTTCTGGAGATCCCCTAAACAGGCAATTTCATCCTCAGGCATTGCTACCTTAAGTACAATTAAACAGCAATACGGTACACATTAACAACATAGAATGTCACCTTGAGATACAAAACCAAGGCCACACTTCAGAGTCACACCTGTAGCCACAGTATATGGCCTTCATTACTCCCCTCATCAATCTTCTGCGTCCAGCTCTACTCGAATCGATCATCCGGGCCACTGGAACCATACAAGTTTGCCAGCAAAACGTATGAGAAGGTTCCTCCGGGATCCATCTCCAGCGCCTTCTCAGCTGCTCGGACACCAGCAATCTCATCCTTGCTCGCAGCGCAAGCCGCGAGCAAAATCCCCCACACAACGTCGTGAGCTTCGAAAGGCATGGCCGCCGCAATCCCGTGCGCCAAGATCAGCTGCCCCGACCTCGCAAAGATATCTATCACGCAGCAAAAGTGCTCTCTCGCGGGAGCCACGCCAAAGTCACAGGCCATGCCAGAGAAGAGAGCCAGAGCTTCGCAAACCATGCCTCCATGGCTGCACGACGTCAACACGCTCGCGAGCGTCGTCTTGTCCGGCTTGAAACCAGCCAAGTTCATCACCCTCAAGAGCTGGATCGCTCGCCCCGATCGCGAGTAAGCTCGGATCATCGCGTTCCACGACACTGTGTCCTGGCAAGGCATCTCGTCGAAAGTAGTCCTGGCCTCTCGGAGGAAACCATTTTGCTCGTAGACCGTGGCCATAGCGTTCCAAGCCGCGACGTCTCGTCCAGGCATGCTCTCAAAAACATCCCTCGCTTCGTCAAGAGACCCGTTTTGTCCGAGGCCCGAGACTACCGAGCTCCACGACACGACTTGTCTCTGCGGGATCCGATCAAACAGCGCCCTGGCCTCATCGAGGAATCCAAACTGGCAGTAAACTCCGATCATGCTGTTCCACGAGACGACGTCCCGCTGTGGCATCTGCTCGAAAGTCTTGCGAGACTCTTCCCAGAAACCGTTTAGAGCGTATGCCATGATCGCTGCGTTGAAAGACACAACGTTGAGCTGCGGCATCCTCTCCAGCAACACCATGGACTCATCAAACAGGCCAGCGCGAGCGAATCCGGGGACCAGACTCGTCCAAGAACACATATCCCTCTCTGGAAGCTCGTCAAACTTCGCCTTCGCATCGCCCAACGAGCCGCTCTGCGCATACGCTGCAATGACCGAGTTCCACGAGACCGTGTTCCTGTGAGGGATCTTCTCAAACACCGCCAGGGCTAGATCGATGCTGCAGCACTGCTCCCCAGCGATCACCAGCGCCGTCCACGAGATCACGTCCCTCTCAGGCATCTGATCAAACAGAAACTTCGACTCGTCCATATACCCATTCCGAGCATACGCTGAAACGATGGAGTTCCACGACACCAGATCCCTGTGAGGCATCCTCTCAAACACCGTTCTCGCTCGATCGACATCAAAGTCACAGAGAAAAGATCTAGCCATCGTGTTCCACGCGCCGACACTGCGATTCTCCATAGAATCAAACGTCGATTTCGCTTCTAGCACACGGCCATTCTGGGCGAGGAGCAAAACCATCACGCAGCACGCCACGGAATCCTTCTCGCCCATCGCCTCAAACGCCACCCGCGCCTCGTCGATCAATCCACACTCCGAGAATGTGACGATCATCGCGGTGGCCAAGACAGTGTCGTGCTGGGGCATTTGTTCATACACTCTCTTGGCGCCATAGACATCCCCAGCGCCGGCATATGCCTTGACCACGCCAGTCCACGCAAGAACGGTCAACTTGGGCATCCGGTCAAACAGCCACTTGGCATCCGCCGGTTCGCTGGCGCAAATGAGGCAATTCCAAGCAACCTCGTTCCACGCGGGCATCCGGTCAAAGATTTTCTTTGCGTAGCTGGCGCACTGCGATTGGGCGTAGCCCGTGACCATCGTGTTCCACGTCACTAGGTCGCGGTGGCGGCGCATGCTTTGAAAGAGTGTTCTTGCGGCGTCTAGATGCCCTCTCTGGGCATATGCGGAGATCATGGAGTTCCACGAGATTGTATCCGCGACCGGGAGCATTCGATCGAAGAGCTTCCTGGCCTCGCCCACGAATCCATTGCGGATATAGACGAAGAGCATGATATTCCAGGAGCGAGTGTCGGGGTCGTGGATCATGGAATCGAAGACGAGCGATGCCGCGCGGAGGTCCGCGCAGCTGCCATACATGGCGAGGAGGTGCTCGGCGACGATCTTGGAGGCGGCGAGGCGGGGATCGCCCTGGATGTAGCGGTGCAACCGCTTGCCCTCTTCCAGATCCTTGGCCTTGACGCAGGATTTGAGGCGAGAGAGGAGCTCCTCGGCCGAGAACTTTCTCATCAAATCCTCGCTCTCCGCCGCGCATTTTGTCGATCATGGAACCTCCGGAGCTAAATTCCGATGTTGGGCGAGTGAGACTGCGCGTGTATGGCTGCTGGAATCCAGATCGAATAGACTCTCCATGCGCTCAAAGCGCCAGAGCCATGCCCTAAATTACTGTTCGAGCGGACGGACAATATTTAAATAGGTTTCCCGCAAAGTAGAGATCCACCGTCCGTTGTGGAGGAATTAGGGTTCTTGAGTAAATCGTGCAATGGAATGGAATCGCTCCTCCACAATCACGCCTCCATCGACATCCACACATACGCCACTCTTCTCCAGCAATGCGGCGAGCGCCGGGCTCTCGGCGACGGCAAAGCCCTCCACGCCCACATCGCGTCGCGGCTGCCAAATCCCCCACTCTTCCTCTCGAATCACTTGCTGGGCATGTACGCCAAATGCGGCAGCGCCCGCGACGCGCTCGCGGCCTTCGATTCCATGCGCGATCGCAACGTTGTCTCCTGGACAACCGTCGTCACCGCATTTGCCCACGCCGGGCATCCCACCGCCGCGCTGCGTCTCTTCCAGCGCATGCTCGCGGAAGGCATCGCTCCAAACAAGGTGACCTTCGTCGCTGTTCTTCACGCCTGTAGCGATTCCCGCGAGCTCCTCGATCCTGGGAGGATGATTCACCGCTGCTGCGAGGAGTCCGGCCTCGGCCGCGATCGCTCCGTCGCGATCTCGCTCGCCAACATGTATGGCAAGTGCGGGGACGTCGACACCGCCGCCTCGATGCTCGATGAGATGTTCCAGCCGGATGTGATCGCCTGGAGCGCGGTGATCACTGGATTCGCCCAGCAGGGGCGGAGCTCCGACGCTCTCCATCTCTTCCGGAGGATGCAGCACGAAGGCGTGATCGCCAACAAGATCACGCTCGTCGCCACCCTCAGCGCTTGCACGGACAGCTCGTCTCTGGCCGATGGGAAGTTCCTCCATTCTTTGATCGTCGAGAAGAAGCTCGAGAGCGATGTGATCGTCGGCGGAGCTCTGGTCACCATGTATACCAACTGTGGAAGCTTGGACGACGCTCGCCGGGCCTTTGGAGCTGTGAGACGTCCCAACGTCATCGCCTGGACTGCCATGATCTCTGCCTGCGTCCACTTTGGAGAGCTCGACGAGGCGCTCCAGATCTTCCGCTTGATAGAAGCCCAGTGCCTGGACGATCGCGAGCTCCTCCTCGACGGTATAGTCTTCGTGCCGCTCATCAATGCCTGTGCTCGTCTCACGGATCTCTCCCAGGGCCGACGGCTTCACGCTCGGATCTCCAGCGATGGAAGCATCAAAGTCGACGTCCAGCTCGGGAACGCGCTCGTCAACATGTACTCCAAGTGTGGCAGCGTCGAGGAGGCCGCGAGAGTTTTCGATGGGATGAAGTACCGGAGCACTGTCAGCTGGAACACGATGATCTCGGCGTACGCGATCGCTGGTCATAGTGAGAAAGTGCTGTGGATGTTTCACAGAATGCAGCAGGAGGGTGTCGAGCCGGACGAAGTGAGCTTTGTCGGAGTTCTCTCGGCTTGCAATGCTGCTGGGACTGTCGAGGAGGGATGCAAGTACTTCGGACTTTGCTGCGAGGAGTACCGCATTTTGTTGGAGCCGCAGCACTTCGGGTGTTTGATCGACTTGCTCGGCCGGGTTGGATATCTGGACGAAGCGGAAAGGCTGCTCAGGAGAATGAAGGAGCCGGATGTCATGGCCTGGATGATGCTGCTGGACGCTTGTCGAATTCACAACGACTTGACACGAGCTAAAGCTGCTGCCGAGCGTGTTCTTGAGCTGGATCCTGGAAACAGTGCGGCTTATATCATGTATACTCAATCAAGTTAAAAAGCTTGAATTTTTTTTGCACTCACCTTAGTTAAGTCATGCGTACCAAAGAGCAATGGAAACTTTGCTCTCGAGCCGAGAGCTGCTGTTAGGTTTGAGAGTCGTCGACGAATAGAGCTACACAGCTGCAGGCTACGGAAGTTAACACGTACCAGACGATGCCAGCAAGAAGTGGCTGCATGCCTGGAGTCGAGGCGAGGTCCTGAACCACTGAGCTGAACCGATCTGAGTGTGCCGCTCCTGAACTGGCCGCAGCTTGAGATATCTGGGAGCTGGATACCGTTTGAAACTGGACAACCAGAGCCGCAGCCAAAGAGACCGCCACTGGAACAGCTTGTCTTATCATAAAAAGCTTTTGCTGCTTTTCCGATGGTCGATGGATCCGAGGTGGTGTTTTAGTGGCCGCGTCAACACGGATGGTAGGCGTTGTGGACGTTGATGACGAGTTCTCAATGGGACTAGTTACGTTACTGAGAGGTTCCCAGTACTCCTCAGCTTGAGCATAGGAAGATTCCCGTTGTTGAGTGACGGCTTCGTACAAAGCTTTCATCTTGCCTTGTGCGAACAGTGATCCCCTGAAGGCTTGATTATACACATCCTTAGCGAACCAGCTGAGCGGAACGATTGCTCCCTGCGAGGATCTCACATGATCGAAGTCGTCCGATGAGGAGTAGCTTTTCCCAACAAAAAAATGCCACCACCTTCCAGCTCGGGCTTGTATAGCATCAGTAGCAGCCGTTCTGTATTTTTGTGCAGGGTTTTCCTAAAGAAAAGCGTGTGTCAGTTACAAATCAAGTACAAAAAGAACTGCGTACCTTTTCAGATTGAAACTCTGCATTTTTCTTCAAGAACTTTTCTGCGCTCTTGAAAACGTCGATTGCACGCTCGCCGGGGCTGTTCTCAGGCTCTATGTTTACCGTATAGCGAGGCTGTTTAGCCATGAGATACTCGAGAGCTGCTAGTTTCCCTCTATCCACCCACCTATAGAAACAAAGCTTTTAGAAACAGAAAATCTTCAATCACTAGAAAAACTTACGAAATGCAATCCACGGGACAAGCTCGAATAGCATCGTCGATAACTGGCTTCGAATCACCCCACTGTGAAACTGCCCGAGCTCGACCATAGCGTTTCTCAACAGCAAAAGTGTTGGACGCAATGAGAGCACACTTCAAGCAGCCAATGCAGCGTACTTCGTCCACAAAAACGGCCTTTTCTTCGCTTGCTGGTCCCATCCATCTGGAATAGAGCGGCTCACCCGTGAATCCTTCGAACTGAATCCATTCAGCACGGACCTGTGAAAACAAAGAAGAGAAACTCATGTCTTCCAGAAAAGAAACGAAGAAAGAAAATCTTACAGCGTCGTATGAACCACGGCTGGTCGGATCGGAGAGAATGGCGTAGGCCTCATTGAGAAGAATCGACATGTCGTGTCCCAGCTCGCCAGCGACATCCGGATGGCATTTCTTCTGGAGCCATCGGTATGCTTTCTTGATCTCCGGCTGTGGCGCGGAATTCTCGACGCCAAGGAGCTCATACAGATCATAACCATAGTAGCTCTTGCCGGTGCTGCCGCTGCTGCTTCTACCAGCGTGAGCCCTACATTTGAATCTAGACGGCCGCGGACGAGTACCTTGCCGTGCTCTCACGAGCGACGAATCGATCGCGATCCCAGGAGCCAGATTCAAGCCCGAGGTGGAAGAAGCCGCCATCGCCATTGCCATCGCCCTGGAGAAACGCAAAAGAGAAGAAGAGAGCCCTAGCAAGAAAGCTCTCGATCGAGAGAGAAAATATCACACTTGGCGCGTAGGGGACACGTCACGAAGACACGTCATTTGGCACTTTTTACACTTTTTCAACACCATAGGAATCGAACCCGGGACCAGAAAAAGGTCCAAGGCTCGATCCTCTGGAATCTTCCACAAAAGCCCAGCCCTAAAGTCAAAGTGGATTGACAAGTTGGTGTGACCTGCCTCTAGTGTCAACGCAGCGAATTGTCCATGAACGCCTTTAAGCCACTTGCACCCACCAATGCCTCCAGCGTCAAGATCAACAAAGGAGGTTAAAATACGACGAAGTGGCCAGCGAGCGAGCAAAAAGCTCATGCCTTTACTCCCCTTCATTTCTTCTGGAGATACCTGGACAATACAAGAGAGATACCCATAAAACAAGATTTTTCTCCCCACCTTTCAAGCATGGCTGGACCCGAGATTGTTTACGCGTATCGTAGATCCCCAGAGATCCATCCTCATTCTCCAGCTTTCCTTAGTGCTGGATCAAGCCTTTGTTTAGTCCTGGAGAACGTGTGAGTGTGTCAGGGGGGGCGAAGCTCATCCAGCCTTCCTCTAGAATCGAAGAAAACATAGAAAAGTCAAACCTGAGAGTGTGGGTGGGGTGATCTCGAGCTCCTCAAAAATCAATCAGTCACCTTGACTGGTTCGGATCTCGTCACTCTCGTCGCCGCATGACCCCTCTTTTTGGCCACACCGAGGATTTTTCCTCTGCAGGGATCGAGTGCTACCTTTTTCCTTATTTTATTGCTCCGTGAAGAAATCTCATCAGACTTTTCTGCGGCCGAATTTTCGCCCACTGTTCACACAAAAATCTGCTAAAACTTGGACCAGGATTGCCGCCACCGTGGACTAAATAAACACGAACCTGTAGAGGGAGAGACTTGTTGGAGCATTATTTCTTTGACATCCTTGTGAAGGTGAATGATTTCACTACCTGCAAAGTCTTTAAGTAGATAAGAGAAATAGACTGCAAAGACAACCATAAGTCTCACCAAGAGCAGTTCTTTTTGTGGCCCCAGACGAGCAGCAGCACGGTTTCTGGCTTGTTTCCAGCTCCAGTGTCCCAGAGCGTTTGTTGCATGGTCGCAGCTTCTTTTTAAACTCGAAAGAATCCGCCTACACTGCCATGCCCGTTTCCGGAGTGCGCTGCAAGCTCTGCGATGCCATAGCCTGGAGAGCAAAGCCGAGAAGAAGGGAAAAAATATATATATGCGTGTGAGTTGTGAGTAAGAGTCTATAGAGCATGCTGAATTGCACAGACCTTTAAAATGTGTCAGGCGGCGAATATTTGGTACACACGCTCTTTGCTGTCGAGGTGATGGATGTAGTAGCAGGAGCAGCATGCCCCAAGTGACTGCCTTGATGAGAACAAACCCCTGCAAGAAATCAATGAATGAGCTATGAATGATCATCTGTAAGTGGAAGTAGTAGTAGCTCTCAACTCACCAGGGACGCGACCAAGACACCAAAGGGATGGCAGCTTACAATCTCCGGCAGCAGCAAAACCGGCGTTTCTGGTGTTGTTGCAGCCTGCTGCTGGCGCTAATCCTCTTGATAGATGCTCAAGCACAGCAGCAAAACCAGAGTCAGGATGTGTCCACGTTGCTGAAAATCAAACCTGCCTTGGATACCAATCCGGCTCTGCCGCTGCTGCTAAGTTGGAGTTTCCAAAATCCTCTATGCAACTGGCAAGGCGTGCAGTGGATGCTCAATGATGGAACGCCGGTGAATTGCTCGGTTCCAGCCACAGCACTCAATGACAGTCTTGCTCAAGACCCGTCCATTCTTGTCGAAAGCATCACTCTCACCAAGCTTCAAGGGGCTCTAGTCGGCACCATTCCTCCAGAAATCGGTCTTCTCTCGGGTCTCAGGAAGCTCGAGCTCAGCAGCAACAACTTAACCGGTCCCATCCCCGAAGAGATCTCCAATGCCTCCAGTCTCGCCTTCATTCACCTTGGTAACAATCGACTCAACGGGAGCATTCCTTCGACGATCTGGAAGCTGTGTGGTGTCCTCGCCGAGCTTGACTTGGATCACAACCAGCTCTCCGGAAGCATTCCAGTTGCCGCAGATCCGAAAGCCAGGTGCTCTAACTTGACGTCTCTCCGCCTCAACAGCAACAATCTTTCCGGCCTGGTTCCATCTGAGTTCCTCAAGTCCCTGGCTCCAAGCTTGACGGAGCTCGACTTAAGCAACAACATCCTTCTCGGAGGAGTAGTAGCAGCACCGGGAGCAACCAGTATTCAATCCAATGCGGCAGCTCCAGCTACTTCCCCAGCACTGGTGGCGGCACCTCCCACGGGGTCGAGCAAGTTATCCGCTGGGGCAGTGTCCGGTATCATAATTGGAGTTCTCGTAGCCACTGTTCTGCTGCTATCACTTCTCATCGGGATTTGTAGTAGCAACAGATCTCCAATAGCGTCAAAGCTGACGAGTTCTCCGTCACTTCACCGTGAGCTTGGCGAGGCAGAGGATGCTACGACTGGAAAGCTTGTTGCATTTGAGGGAGGCGAGCGATTCAACGCCGACCAGGTACTTAATGCGTCAGGTGAAGTGTTGGGAAAGACGAGCTACGGTACCGTGTACAAAGCCAAGCTCCAGTCTGGGCCGATGATAACTCTCAGGCTGCTCCGCGATGGAAGTGTCAAGGACCGGGACGAGTTTGTGTCCGCTGTCAAGGAGCTGGGACTTATCCGCCATAGAAATCTGGTACCTCTTCGAGCTTATTACCACGGACCAAAAGACGAAAAGCTGCTCGTTTACGACTACATTCCCAAGGGAAACCTCCAAGAGCTGATACATAGTAAGTCTTTCTTTCTGCTTTCCCTGCATGGTACATTCAGTAAAGGAAAAGAATGCTAACCTTTTGCCTGGATCAGCATCCACCGCTTACGCTCCAGCTCCATCTTGGGCAATACGGCACAAAATCGCACTGGGAGCAGCTCGAGGACTGGGCCATCTCCACACAGGCTTGCACCTTCCACTGCTCCACGGGAACCTCAAGTCGAAGAACATCTTGGTTGACGAGAACTTCGAGCCACATCTATCCGACTTTGGCCTCCATTTGCTCATGAACGCTGCGGCAAGCAACGAGATGATCACTGCTCAAGCTACGCAAGGCTACAAGGCGCCGGAGCTTACCAGGATCAAGAAAGCCAACACCAAGACCGACATCTACAGCTTCGGGATCATCCTGCTGGAGCTCCTGACAGGGAAAAAACCCGGAAACTTAGCCGCCGGAGACAACGATAGCGTCACGGTGGTGGACTTACCCACATTGGTGAAAACCGCAGTGATCGAGGAGAGGACGGCCGAGCTGTTTGATCTCGATCTGCTACGAGGATTGCGGAGCCCGATGGAGGACGGCCTCCTCCAAGCCCTTCAGCTGGCCATGGGATGCTGCGCGCCATCGCCGGCGGTACGCCCGGACATCAAGGAGGTCATCCGGCAGCTGGAAGAGATCAGGCCAAAGATCCACTCCCCAATCTTCACGCCGGTGTCGCATTCTCGAAACTCGCCCCGGATTCCACTGTCGCCGCTGAGAGACGCATCGTGAGAGAGGAATAGCGCGCCCTAGTTGGAATAGAAAGAAATTTCTCACCTCTTTGTGCCAAAACCCTAATCTAGATTTCTTAGATGGAAGTTTGATTTATTCTTTGGAGGGAAAATCTTCTCTCTCCGCTCCAAAAAAAGAAAAAAGAAGTTCCAGGAGAAGATTCCAATAATTTCCCAAGACGCGGCAGCCCTTGTGCCTGGTACGTCCTTGACAATGTTTCTTTCTTCATTAAATTTCACTGTTCTTCGTTATTGCCGTGGTGGCATATGCGTATCGTAACGCCTGGAGCCAAAAAACCATTTCTCTGCGCTGCGCTCCATCGTCCAACCAGCAAACCTACTGTCAGCGACACGATAGCGGCGAGAAGACCAAACCATTTGTCTTGAGCTCCATATCATCAAATAACGTGTTGACGTTGTGGCCTTGGATTTGATAAAGACGGTGTCCACAATCTTTCACCTGCAAGGACGAAAGGGAAAAAAAAAAACAAGGAGAAACTGAGCCGCTCGTCCCTTTAAAGCTGACGAACGAGAAGAAATACTTGGATAAGTTCCAAACTGTGGACCGCCATTTTTCCTGTACAATTTTGTCATTTTCATCAGAAACCATCGGTGTTTTTTCGCTGAAAAATCAAACTTTGTGGCACAGTAGCGTTGTTTTTACCATCCTGAAGTGTCTCACGAAGCTTGCTCTTCAAAAATCACATCTCGAGTACACTCGAGTGCTTGTATAATTAGTCGCTTAGATTTAGTATACAAACACCAAGAAAAAATGAAGAATTATGTCAACCTGTCAAAGCTTGCGAGGCATCCTTCACAGCTTGAATTGTCGATTTAACCATCTGCTTCCTGCAGCGCTCAAAAATGCTATCGTACAAAACGTCAAAATGAACGCCGGCACGCTCGCGATCGATTATAAAAAAGATGTGGTCTGCTTCCAAAACTGTGTAGTACCTGTGAGAAGTCATCCAATTAAACATAGACAAGAAGAGAAACTTCACGGCCAGCTTACCAGATACCTCGTTTTAATGGTTGATCGTCCTGCAAAGAATCCAACAAAGAATTTGGATGGCTGAATGGAAACCTGGGATAAAGCTGTGATATCGTGTTCAAAGCCCCATCGTTGTCTTGCCAATCGGCATCTCTGGAAACAAACGCGTAAGAAAACGAAAACCAGAAAAAAAAAAAACTTTTCTACAAAAGCTTATACCTGTATCCGGAAAATGGAAGCGAAAGATGGCCGGGATGACGCCACAAGCACATCTCTAAGGTTCGCAAAAGAAGCAAAGGATGGATCCCGCGTAAACTCGACGGTATTGTTTTGCCACAGACTTTCATTGTCCTCTGCGTTGCATAACTGCAAAGAAACATCAGTATAAGGTACACAGAAACTACGAGCAAACCTTATATAGTACGTATTGGGATGAGTCTTTAGCTTCCGGTTAATTCGTGCTGCCGCTTGAAGGCTCAAGTCTGGCAGTATCCAGTCTCCGGTAGCAAAAGGACCAGAGTAACCAGCAATGGACGAAGCCAGACCGATCAATCCAGCTTTCTGCCACTGGAGATTGTAGTGATCAAAACCAAAACTATAGTAGTTCTTAAGGTAGCTTATGTCCAGCCACTCGTAGACGAGAGCACCCACACGCAATAGCTGCAAAAGGCAGAGAGGTTTTAAGGTGCAACCATCCTCTGGTCTGGTGTTACGGAGCAACACAAGCATTAGACGAGGATGGTTTGTGAGCAACGTTGTTCTTACTGGATTCCATCGATGTAAACTCGAGTTGTTCCATTGAGAGCACCGGACAAGGCTGTGATGCTAAGCACCCAGTCCGCGGATGCATTTTCGTAGCCAGGAAATTCCTGTAGAGCCGAGCAATATGACTTTTTCTAGAGGAAGGAAACGAAAGAAAAGCCGTCTACGCACCTTGTTTTCAAGCATTTCCTGCAAGACTCGTGCCACTTGAGCTCCGGAGGAATGGCCAACAAAATGCACTGGTCGATGTTCATCCCACTCCGGAAAATGTCCTGCCAGAATTCCCTGCGATTTTTAGTTCTTCTTTTTGTTACAACTCGCAAGCTACCTTGCTCAAACGTCCTTCCAAATCGTGCGTGGCCATACTCGGAGCTATGACTAGCACCATAATCAACAGTTCCTCCTTTCAAAAAGTAGAACAGCTCACAAGCACTGCTCAAAAAGAATAAGAAAACAAGAACTTAGAAAAACTGTGCCAAATTCGAGGAAAGGAAAGGCTGGAAAGAAGAAAACCGGTCGTGAATACTTGTCAAGGAGCCGAGATCCGGCACAAGAACTCGTCCATATTTCTTTTCAGCGCCAGCCCAATATGAAATTGTTCCCAGCTTCTATTCAACAATATCAAGCAAACATAAAAAAAAAAAAACAAACACTCACCCCTTTCCCAAATCCAAAAATCCCGTGAAGCAAGACAACAGGCGTGACATCCGATCCATCACGGGTGTCGGTGGTGGCAATGCCCCCGTCGATTGAAGTTGCGACACTCGGATTCACGGCT